TGTTGAGTGTATATTAACTGCATGGCTGTATAGTATGTAACTGCAAAACTAAAATAAAGTCCATCATTAGTGAGATAAAATCAGTATTCAAGTTATAAAAAACGTGTATAAGAGTATATAACACATAAGATATGAAATATAACTTGGGTGGGTTGTGGAGAGAGGAAGCAGAGGAAGTCATCTGACCTGTGAGGGAGTAAATGACGAAGCAGAAGATCATGGAGACCACAGAGATGAAGACCCAGTGAGAGAGCCGCTGGTTCTCCAGGCTGCTGTAGATGGCGATGGACGCCTCGTGACACTGAAACCAGCACAAAGATGTGAAATTCAATCACACTTTAAGTATAGAAGGAAACAGTAACAGTGCCCACAGTCAGACAATCCCCTGACACATTGAGCCAAACGCTTCAACCAGGGAATAGTCGCTGGTCAGACTGCATGTCTCTGTAACAGTCTGCGTCGGATTATTCTCCTCTCTTTGGATCTCATAGTTCAGGCTGGTCTTATTATGTCTGATGTTACTGCCAGTGTGATGAACTGAGGTAGGAAATAAAAGAAGGTGCACGGGCTGTGTCAGTGGCACAATAGGGCTGAATTAATCCTTCATAGATTTCAGGATAAAGACTCTTGTCCCTACTTGATCCCAGCTGCCACCAGGCAGTGTTAAATCTCGCTTCCTTTTTCCTTGCCCTCCCTTCCTCTCAGGATCTCATCAGCCCTCTATTCAACCCTTTGCCCTGCAATCACTCACCCTGAGGGAGCGTGTCTATGTGTTTGTTTGAGAGGACATGCATCAATCCTCTCACACTTTCGCCTCCTTTTATTAGATCCCGCCACCAGCCTTCAGGGGTTACCTTGGCAACTTGGGAAGTTACACATCAGTCTGTCCTGCTTGAGACTGACAGAATGATCTTTTTTCCATGCACTCTGCCCTGCTATTAAATATGAAAAGCTCACTCTGCAGCGCTCCCACGGAGCACAGTGAGCGGCAGCTTGCTGACCTTTACACTGAAGTTAAACACACTCTCCTGAGAAGCCTTAAAGATTAAGTGAGAACACCCGCTCTCCAATATGAGCCATTATATGCTACATAGAAAGTTCTATATTACATCAAAGAGCAAAAAAAACACACAAAACGACTTCTGTGTTTCCAGCCCAATACAACGTGAATGATACGATGTGAGAGTGTATTTAGCTAAATAATCTATACGTTTTGCTGATGTTAAATTTAGCTAGACATTATCAGACATAAACATTTCCTGAGGGAAATATCAGCTTTATACACAGCTGATCCACCTAATGGAGCCCTTGCAGTAGCTTCATTTTATATTCCAAAATCTAAACATCTGGCACGCACTGAGTCAATAACGCTGAGATGTGCATCCTCACATCCTCACTTCTGCTTGCGTCGAGATATTTAACACCCTCCACCTGCCTGTCCGCCTGATGCAGTAAGAGCACTGATAAAGCACTGACAGCAGTTTTAAAGCTTCTTTTTGGTACGTGTTGAGCAAACATCGTGCATCTCAGACTTTGTCATAGCTTGGCCCTCTCGCTTGTAGTACGCCCCAGTGGCTAAATGGTAAGGCTGCATACCTCATGACCTTGGCGCCTATACTTTCCAAGCACCTTTGGTGTAAATATAGATGGATTTGCTTTGGTTTATTTCTGTAACATTGTGATTCCCCAAATCTCTGTCATAAACCGATGTGCCAGCTTCTGTGTGAACGTAAAAGTATGTGACTTGTTTTGGCATTTTAATTTTATCTGATGGCCGCAGCAGTGATGCAGAGAGGCTGTCCAGGAAGAGTGAGGGCCATGCCAACTATAGTTTAGCATTATTTTTTAACGATAAAGCTCTATTTTGATTCCTGAGACTTTATGGAAGAAAGAATCAAGACATGGAAGATTTCTATTCTTATCCAACTGCAACTACGGTGCTTCATACACGATAAAATTACAGGATGACTGCTTCAACATTTACACAGTCACATCTGTTTTTGGACAATGGCACATTTTTTTGCCTACATTCACCAAAACAGTTGATTTTAAATGAAACAATCTGTGTAACTGAGCTGCAGACTTTCCGCTTTAATTCAAGGGGTTTAACAAAAATTTTCAACTATTTAGGAATTGCAGTCATTTTTATACACAGTCTCCCATCTTCAGAGGCACAAAAGTAACTGGACACATAATTTCAAATAGGGATTGTTTTTAATGCTTGAAGGTCCTTTGCAGTCAATGTGTGCCTGAAGTCGAGAACCCATGGACATCATTAAATGCTGTATTTCCTCTCTTGAGATACTGTTGGTGGCCTCTAATGCAGCTGCCCTTAGTTGCTGCTCATTTTGTGGCTCATTTTGTGGCTCTCTGCCTTCAGTTTTCTGTTCAGTAATTGAACAAAATGTTCTGGTCTAAATTCTTTGTCCTGAGAAACTTGGGTTGATTTTGCACTACCCTTTAAATCTGCCACCCAAGTCGTCAAAGTCCTAAGATATGCTTTGAATCATTTGCTCTGTGAAAAGCCATCTAATCTGTGTTGCAGCATTTGGCTGATCTGAGCAATCAGTATAGTCTTTTTCCACTTCACACTTCATCTAACTTCTAAAAACACTAGTGGCCTGGTTCCACTGGCAGCCATCCATACCCATGCCATAACATTCCTTCCACCATGTTTGATAGATAATCTTATATTGTTCAGATCATGAGCTGTTTCTTTCCTTCTTAATTCTTTTCTCTTTCCATTGTTCCAATAGAAGGCAAACTGGGTTTTATTTTAAATAAAAATTTTAAATAATTCTATTTTTTTTAGCTGTGCCACCTGTTTCAGATGTTTTCTGGCAAAATCTAATCTGCCCTTCGTGTTCTACAGCAAGATGCAAACAATTGCTTTGCATCTTGCTGTAAACCCTCTGTATTCATATTGATGTTTCTTGATTGGAGACTATGATCCACTATGTTGGTATAAAGAGTCAAAATTACAAAAATTGTTATTGCTCCAAAACGTATGGACCTAATGCCTTTAATAGCCCCGGCTGCCTCAGTCTCAGTGTCCTCAGCCTTAAAAGCACAAGAACAAAACAACACTTTTCTTGTTATTTTCTGAAAGTGACATGGCAGCTGTTTCTGTATCATTTACAAACATAAGACCCATATTTTAAATTACAGCAAATTATCACATGTCATCTAAACGCATTCTCTCCCATTACGTTGGTTTGTATACATCTACAAATGTCAGCTAAATTAAAACCACTGAGCCATTTATCAAGCTTTTTGATTGTAAGAGCAGTACTTCAGATTTTTTTCCCACTCACATTAAGAGCAAACTTTAACCTTATCTCAAGAAATTTGGCTAAAAAATTTAATTAATTCCTCCACTGTTATTATCTCAGGCAAACAATTCAAATTCTCAAAACAACAAAACGCTGTACTTAACCCCCCCCCCCAAAAAAAAAGCTGAAACAGAAACTAACACAGAACACATGACCTGGTGTTTGTTTGCTATCTTTCCAGTACAGCGAGGTCATTTATTTGCCAATGTATTTCCACTTTGTTACCTTTATACCTTTTGTTTTTAATTTCCTGTCTTATTATTTATTATTTTTCTAAATGTCCTAATCGTTTTGCAGAGGCAAATGAGTCATGCTTTTTACCATTTATCTCAATGGTTTTGGGGGCAGAGACATCAGAGCCACATATCTAAAGCCTTTATAAATACTGAAGTCCAAAATATCTGCAGTATGACTAAAAGACGTTCAGGTGAAACATTATGAAGATGTGCCTCATTACCTGCTTAGAAATTACTTGTATATTTAGCCACATATATACACTTCCAAGCAGTTTTTCCTGCTGATACATTACGTACTCCTCCACAGACAGCTGTGCTTGCACTGGCCTCCAGCCTTAAGGCAGCACGACGATGCAAACACATGTTATCCAAGTTTTAGATGAACATAAACATCAACATATTTTAAACTGCTGCACTCACTTGGAAACCAAAGCAGATGGTCGGGATGACACTGAACATGGCGGCCCAGGAGTTCATCCTTAAGGAGGAAACACAAGAGTCATTTTCATGGATTCACAAATGCCACCGGAAGAAGAATTAGTCTATTATCGAGGCACTGCTGATAATGCCATGGCATTTAGAGACTCTTCACTCTAGAGTTACTCTGTCAATCACAGGCAAATGGGTGATAAGAGCTGCCGAGTTAAGTCAGTGATCCAGACAGAGCAACACAGGGCTTCAAGTGGACAACTGCGTTTGTCCTAGTGGCCTCAATTCAGACAGATTCATGAGGAAGCTTTACAAAAGCCATATTTCCTGGGTGCAACCTCAATATGTGGACTAGCTCTGGTGATGAAGTATATTTACGACACATAGATGATAACTAAAAGATGAAAACTTCATCATCAAGACTGAAAAGAGCATTTAAGAGAAGAGTTAGAATATGTTTATTAGAACTAGACAGGACTGCTGATGCCTACCTAACAGTCAAGAAACCCCTTTCTGCAGCACCCCCTGGTGTTGGGTGCCAGTATCAAAAATGTGTCTGCATAGAGTTCTGTGAAGAGGAACGTTTTCAAAAGAACCTCCATTGGCAGCAATAATTTGAAGTGATTGTTTTCCATATGACTTAATCAGTGTCTCACATTGTTGTGGGGAGGATTTCTATCCCACTCTTCTTTAAAACAACGCTTCAGTTCATTGAGGCATTGTTTTATATATATATA